GGTTTCCTTTACACCAATGGAGAGAAATTTTTTGTGTGTGTATAATCCATTTGTTCCATGTTATTTTGCACGTCAAATGGTACTCAGCAAATTTGTATTTACTTTCACAGCCTGTGAAAAGAGTCCAGACAACTGGCTGAGATGAATGTCATTTAAATCTAATAGAACAACATTTGCAGTGGGAGCACTTCTGTCACTGAGTTTGCATCCTTGATTTATTACCCTTCTGTCCAGATATTCATTGTATACAATTCCACCAGTGCAGTATTTTAGGTCTTAAAAGCGTAGATTAGTTTATCCAGATAACATCTTTTTCAATAAGTATTTCAGAGAAGAACTGAGGCATAGAGTGATGGGGAAGTTGGAGATGTCGGGATCTCAGATCCAAAGCAAAGGCATGTGTTGAAACTCTTATTCTCCAAATTGCCCTCTTGTGCCTTAATCTAGCCTCACATACAAGCACAACATCGCCTGTTTTCCTACAATCGTTGAGATAGCACATGATAAATATTACCTCACATTCAGCTGCTCAGCGTGGAATTGGCTAGAGAGTCTATTACAGCTGGTGAGCTCCCTAGGGGCTTTTATTCTCTTCAGGATATAAGGAAGCAACAGAAGCCTGCAGAGCTGTAGTGTATATATAGATATGTATGTAGACTTGACCTGGTTTATGTGATTAAAGAAACCTTCTGCCATAATGTACCTTCCTATTTTCTCTGTTGCTAAAGATCCTAAACATTTAATAGAGAATTACATGGTTTCTACAGGATATTTGCTCCTGCTATCTAAGAAATACTGGACCTGACAAACTTTAAAAATGAGTAGCACATTTCTGAAGCACCCCAGGTCCTTTTTCTTACAGCTTGCTTTGGTTGTTACCATCCAGCTATTGACTGTATGAAAGTTCACTCCATGCATGCACCACCTCTGTCCTTGCACAGGGCTCACTGCTTGTAGATTGGCTGTGGCAGCCCTTTTCAACATCTGTCTTACACTTTGGGCAGGAAGCAAGCTGCTAGGTGAAAGAAGCTTTGGGTATGTATGAAGACACAGTGCAGTTGTGCACATGCAGTAGGTCTGGGTATGTGACAGAAGAGGGACCATACTGTAATCCACATTTACTCAACATTCCTTGCTTCTCATAACCAGAAGGGCTTTGTGAAGAGGTGGGTGGAAAGGAGCAGGTAACAGCTTTCATCGTTCTGCCTCAATATGAGGAGCAAAAGCAACAACTAGGCCTGGGGATTTCCCACTCTTCAACTATAGATCCCATGATTCTTGTGAAGAACATGTATTTTCCCAGTTTTGGCAGTTCCCTCCACTACTTTTACCCAGAAGGTGGAATAAGAATTGAATCACATGAGGAAAAATTATCCCACGTTCTTTTAATGATTTGAGGATTAAGTACAGGAAATCACATATTGCATAAGATTTCGGGCAGCTTCAGGTAGTGTTTTACCAGTCACAGAAGAACTTTTTAGTGCAAGATGAAGTTTTCCACTATGATTTCCATTCAGTGTCGCGTGGCAGGACACAATCATACATGCTGACCCTGCTTTAACTTGTACCATGTTTAAAAATAAATAAATAAACAAATATTAATCTTACTTGCCTTCAGAGGATAATTTCTTCCTGTTGTCTTTTTTTCTTTCACAGCTTTTGAAGGAAATTATTGGTCCCACTTTTTTCTCCAAAAACAGAAAGAATCTCTGCAAAGAAGTAAGTGCCTGACCTGGTATTTAAAGTTCATGTTGCAACTATGAGTAACAACTCAATTTTATATTGCAGAAGACACTGTACAGAACACAAAATAAAAATAAGTCCTTGCCTCAAGGAGCATACATTTTAAAGCATTAGTTTTAGAAATTCTGAATTAAGAGTTTGCCTGTAAAAAGATGGTAAAATATGTTGTCTCACTTTGGTAAGTTTTACACTAATTGGAAAGTGCTTTAGTGTTCCATGCTGAGGTTTTGATGCCTAAGGATAGAAACTGTGAGCAGTTTAGTAGCCTTCCACATTTAGAAATTTGCTATTGAAGTAATTTGTGTGATCTGTTTGATTTTCATTCCTGCAGATTACTGCCTAATATTACCCAAGAATTTAGGAAATGGATTCTTTTGATGCTGCAAAATCCAGGAAATGAAACAAAGCTGATTCCGCATATAGGCTAGGTCTATGAGATTATTTTAAAGATTTTAAAGATTGCAGGTTAAAACAAATCTATGTGCAAGGGAAAGATCAGAATATGAAATAGTTCTGCCTCACCTTCATAGCCAGCAGCCAGTGGGGAGTCAGGGTGTGGACAGATCTCCGCTTCAACATCCAGCTGTGCCAGCTGAAGCTATTGTTGCCACAGTTCTGGTAGTTTCCCAGAAGTTTTCCCTTAAGTCCTAAGAGGCTTCTGTGTATGCACCCAAATCTGTAAGCAAAATTAACTCCAGCCACCTACTTACTGCAAATTTGTGCTAGTCCTTCTGAGTCTAAAAATACAAAAGATAGTAAGATATTGCTATATCTTGTGTAATGTTGTGTGCCATGTCAAAACACAAAATAATTAGCATATTATAGCTTTAAAGTACTAAAAATATTAGGTAACAGAAGTACTGTTAGAAAGGCAGGTACCATTAAAGTGTTAACTCATAATTTAAATCATATCTTCTGACAACAGTGATTGTGGTATTTTCTGTTAAAAGAAATTTCACTGAGGTTCAAAAGAAGGCTGGACAAGTACTTGGAAGCCAGAGCACAAGGGGGAGTAAGCAGACAAATCCTAATAGCCTCACAAAATCACCTGAACAGAAGATAATTGGAGACTGAGAGAATATCTGGGAATATATGTGCTTGACCTGATGGTACTCTTCCCTTGGGCAGTCTCTTAATGATCACTGCTGGAAATAACATACTGAGCTACATCAACCTTAGTCAGAACCAATACAACTTTTCACATGTTCTTTTCTGAAGAAATGTGAAGCACTGACTTTTCAATTTAAATTTCATTCATTAAACATTTAGTTTTCCACATCCATGACAAGAATGAATAAATGTCATCATGCTAACATGATATACTGTATTTTACAAGAGGTGCTGTTCTACAAGGCTATAACCCTTCTGAAAACACACAATTTTGACTAGATCCTTTCTAAAATAAATACGGATATCAGTCCTAGTATTCTGAACAATTTTTCTATCATATTCTATTTACAGACTTTCTTCCTAGTAATCCATAATCTTAATGTTTTACCGTAAAATACTGTGCTTTACTGTAGCGTACTGTTAAAAATCTGTGTACTCCAAAAGTTGCTGTATTTCAGTGGTTGATAACGAAATTCTTGATCCAGTTTGGGGACAATGCAGAGGTGTAGAACAAAAAGAATGATATAACATGCAAATTTATCATAATGAGAAACATTTCTTTAGGCAGAATAAACAGAGTGTGGCTTGAATTAGGTGAATTCTCGTTCAGCATAAGCATGGAAAAGCTAGATGAAGTTTGTACTAAAGGTAAAAATAGTTGAGTACTTGTGATCAGCCAAAAAAAAAAAAAAAAAAAAGCAAAATTCAGCAGCTCATCTCTGTCTTCTGTCTGTTCTTACAAGAGGAACAGTAGGGCATGGATATACACAAAAGAAAATCCCTAGATATCACTTAATAAAAACTGAGCTCAAAAGACAAACATATAATCTAGTTTTAAACTTTCTTGAGTTATTGACATTCCCATTTGTTATTTTTGTCTCATAAGATTTTAATAAAAACAAATACACTGAAGGCACTCCTATATTTATAGAAAGGGGCACCTATTGCACTCTGACCATTGTGCAACCCCAGGTAATCATTCCTTGGCACACTCTGAAAAAGCTGGGGTTTGCTGGTCAGTATCACTTAAGCACAATATATTAAACTAGCTGGAATTGAGCATGAAGGATCAATGATAACAATTAGCCGATTCCTATTTTCCAGTCAGACATTCTGGACAGCACACAAGTATGGAAGAGGAGTACTTTTGCCCACAGGTAACAGCTCATTGGGAAACTTTTCTACATGACCTGAATAAAAACAGTAGTGTTCTGTAGTCATTTGATCACTCTTTAAGAGGAAAAAAAGTGTTTTGGCTTTAAAGCTGTGAATATAAATTGCAGGTGGAGTTTGCTAAACTTACCTGATACTTTGTGCTTCTAAGATATATTCTGAGATATTTGAGCTTCGTATGACTCCATAAGCAAAAATAATTAAAAAACTAAAGGTAACAATACGAGTCTGGAAATGTATAACCAAGGACATGATTTTACTTACTTCAGTAGTTCTATCAACTTCAGAGGGACTGTTCAAATGCTTTAAGTAGGTACAGAAATATCTAATATCAAGCGCTGGAGTTGTATCTCTTTTTCGATTCATTTCAACCTCCTAAAATCTGTCCACTCAGATGAAAAGTGGTTACTTTTTAAGAATGAAAACTGATTTAAACATTCCATATATTTACAAAGCTGGCTAGAACTTTGTCAAAGAAACAGAGAGCCAAAAAATGGGACCTTAGAAGTTGGGCCTTGAAGACTCTTCAGATATCTAATGGTCTGACTGTGCAATGACTCATGATACAGTAACACCATAGACAGCTTCGTAAATGTGCCTGAGATGTTAAAGGTCTTTCCAGTAGCAAGCTGTTGCCTTTGCAAACAGATCAAGCATACTGAAATAAGGTAAACCTTTATATTACACACGAAGGAGATGGAAGGCTGTTTCCCAAGCTAGGAAGAACCTAGGTAGCTCTCCTCTGCTTACAGTAAATAAGAATATTGATCTGACTACAACTATTGTTTCACTTCCTGACTTGAGATAAAATTTGGAGGTTACCAAAACAAAAAAAAAGCTAGGGTGTTGTTTACATAATTAATCTGAATAGAAACTTACTAGCTTTTCCTGCTATTTATATTGGAAAAGGCAATCAGAATGTGCAAATATGCTGTTAGGAGACCTAAATCCGTTTTTCTCTTTCACTTTTATAGTTTTGAGCAAGGAGTCCTGTTCTACCTGGGGTGGAGGGCATTTTTCAACCTTTGATAAATATCAGTATGACTTCACTGGGACCTGCAACTATATCTTTGCAACCGTATGTGATGAAACCAGCCCAGACTTCAACATTCAGTTCCGCCGTGGGCTGGACAAAAAAATTGCGAGGATCATTATTGAGCTGGGACCTTCTGTTGTCATTGTTGAGAAAGGCAGCATTTCTGTCAGGAGTGTTGGGTAAGATTCTGTGATGAATGGGAAAAAAGTGTTTAAAGAAGGCAAGGAGTTATATGGCAGTTACACTAAAGACGACTACTTTGTATCAAAAATTAATTAACAAATTAGAGAATTTGGCACAGTTAACTGGACTCTACTCCCATTTCTCCCTATCAAGCATTCACACTCTCTAGATAGGTACTACATTTGCAGCTATTTGAATCAAGTTTAGAGTACATTTGTGCAGGCAAAGGCATAAACTAACCTTCTCAGACCAAAACAATTCTCACATTGAAACTACAGTCTCCTAGATACTACCAGTCTGCTTATGCAGTATCTCTATGCTTATGTAGTATCTCTACTACAAGCACAGATGAAACAGCTTATACATTTCAGTAGATATTAGTTGAAGTTCCTGTGTTTTACTTAAGAGTTCATTTGATTTGAGACTTAGATAACTCTGAACCCGCTGTGCTAAAGATAACACATATTAAGGGTAAAAGAGAAACTTTGAACTATACAACCAACAGAGAAATATTGGAGGGGCTTACAAAGAAGTCCTTGTGTATGAGACCACTGTCTGTTCACATTATTCCAAGGATTACCATGGCCAGAAAACAGCTGTTTTACTGCAGAACCTTTGGGTTCTGCATCATTCATTCATTCTTCTAGAAAAATTGCTCCCATACAAGGAAATTTCTCCAGAGGAGTTTTCAGCATTTTTATCAGATAGTCAGTTTTGAATTTGTGTCTGTGAGTACACACAGTTACAGGAAATAATTGACTGTGGATTGTCTGTGTCTTATTATACTTACCTGGGTACAATATCTACCATGACAAAAAGACAACTTGCAGCTATACCTTAATTTAGCAAACTGTATTTAGAAAAACTTCCTTTATTAGTTTATGTTCTAGGAAAACTGTATAAATCTATGGGCATAACCTAATGATCTGCATTTTAAATTTTTGTCCTACATTCACAAGAACCAAATGCCATGACTGACCTGGTCTAGTGTTGCATGTAGCCCTGCTTCACATGGAAGGTTGGCCTGGGCAACTTCAGAAGGTTGCCAACCAACTTTTCAATAATTTTATCACATACTTACTGAGTACTTAAAAAATTTATTTATTCTTTAACATTGGTAGTTTGTAGCATTAGAATTCACCTGCAATGAGGAAAATCTAATTCTGCTACAACATTGCCATTATGGGTTTCCTTAACCTTGTCAGTTTTCAGTTGTAGCAATAATTCCTGTATTAACAGGCTGCCATCCACAGAAGCTCTGCAGGATAATCAGCAACAGTTCTACCATACAAACTGAATTCTTACAAGTTCTTGAAATGTATAACTGTACCCTAATAAAGCCAAACCAAGTGAAGATGCCAAGTTCTGTGCAAACATTTTCACTGGTATAATCAATATGCAACTGTCTCCTGGTGATTCTTCTATGAAACTGCTCATATTGGTTTTCAATCAACAGAAATTTTAACGTATCTTAAAATGTTACAGTTACAAAGGAAAGAATATCTATTTCATGTTGCTGCAAGTACTCAGATTGTAAGCATATTATATCTGAAGAAGATAACTAATACCTGCATAATATTGGTATGAGAAGGTCAGTTTCTCTTCTCACCTTATTACAGTGTCATTAAGTTGCCTTACACCAGCAATGGAATTCAAATAGCACCTTATGGACGCAGCATCCGTCTGGTGGCCAAGCTGATGGAGATGGAGCTAGTTGTCATGTGGAACAATGATGACTATCTCATGGTTAGTAAAATGGTCTCATAACAAAGAGAAAATTCTCAGTGAGTTACTGGAATGACAAAATCTCTTTAGACTTAGTGCGTGCTTTTTGCATGTGTTTACTATTTGGATATTTATTCTTTTCCTGCTTCATTCATTCCTCTTGAAATAAACAACTTTTTGCTTTTTATACCTGCATGTTCCTTTTCCTTCCAGCATTGGTAGTTAACCAAAGCCACAAATGTTGAGACTTGTGGATGCTTTCACAGATTTTAAACTTTCCTCAGGCTATTCCAGCAGCTATAATGCTTTGCTAAAGGGATGTTGGAGTTGTTTAAAGTTGTGTAGAATTTAATAGTGGTGTATGCCATAGTTTTGTTTTTTCTACTGTGCTTCCCCTGGACATCTTTTGGTTTTAAACATGTGGTCTTCCTACCAGCTCCTTTGTTTCTTTCCTTTTTTCTAAATCTTTTCATGTTTTCTCTCCAAAATCCCTAATATATTTTTGAGAAGAGGATACATTTTCTCAGCGTGGCCTGTGATATTAATGCCACAAAAGACACTGTATTCTAAATTGGTAAGTTTGCTAAAACAGGGAGATTGTTATGATTATAAGCTGTCTGGGAGATTTACCAGCACTACTATCACACATATAACAGGAAATCTCCTGTGATGGATACACACTACATTGTATGTATAATCAGATTATTTCCTCTGATCTAAGGCTTTGATAATAATTCATTGATTGTGGCCAGTAGTACTATTACCACTTTACTCTCCAGAGCAATAGAAAAATTGAATAACCTTCTGAAAGCAGATTTTCTTCCTGTAACCTTCAATTTCTTAAAAGAATAAAATCATGCTTTGTCAACAAAGATGTCAGCAAGAAAACAGCATCATTTCCATTTCTGTTTTTTCTATCTCCTTAGAATATTATCCCCCCTCAATTCTCTGGAAATGTCTTAGAATCTTATTCATTTATTAAATCAAAAAAATCACAACAATCACTATTTGCCTATTGGGAAAAGAAGTCACTGCTTCCAAAACTTTTCCTCCAGTCAAGTCACTGAAATTAATGAGAAGGATCATCTTTAACTGAATCCTTGAACTGAATTTGTTTGAGAAAGGTAATGCTGTATAGGTAATTTTACTTAGGACAATCCTTTTAAATGTTTTGGTTTATTTTATTTTAGGTTTTGACTGAAAAAAAATATATGGGGAAAACCTGTGGAATGTGTGGAAATTATGATGGTTATGAATTGAATGAATTTGTGAGTGAAGGTAAGATCTAATGACAGGTCAGATGGAAGAAGACCTAGTTAAATAGTTAAACTGAGTCAAGATGGAAATTTAATACTATACTAACATTGCTCTGACTGCTCAATTTCAGATTTGAGTAAAACACTCTCATAGGTCACCAACATACCTATGATATGATTATGCTACATATTATTATTTGCTATGATGATAATATTGTGGGTTCCTCAGACAAGTGATAAGGACTGTCTTCTATTTTAGAAACAGGTGGTAAGGATCACCTCTCTCATTGAAATTTCAGAACAGTCTAGATTCATAGCAAGGTGCAGTGAGGGAAATTACTATGTTAGGCAGAAGCAAGAATGAGGCTGTAATAAAAAGAACACAGTGGACAAGAACATTAAGTAGTACTGTGTCCCAATAAGGGTGGATCCTTAGAACAAACTAGTTGGTGCTGACAACTTGACCTCTGTGCTGTATGTGGTTTGGGTGGTTCACTTCAGAGTCACTCTAATCTGGTCTGTTGAACTGATGCCCATTAGTAGTTGGAGCTTGTTACACATGCTCTTGGAGCACATCTTCTGGCTTGGTTTCATCTTAAAGGAACTCTATGCCAAGATCACTCCAAATTGTACGGAGTGGGGATGTTTGGAAGATTTACTTTAAAAGCACACTGCTAATCTGAATTACAGTGTTAGTGTGGAGATATTAAATTGCACAGTAAACTAATCTCAGATGAACATAGCCAGATGCAGTTTTCTATACACATCACAGAAAAGAGTTCTAAAAAGTATACAATATTTTTGGGGTTGTGATGAGTGTAAACCCTCATATAGGGAAAAATATAAGAATGGGGTATGAGGAGAAGAGGCATGAATTAGCAGCTCACAAAAGATAGCACAACAGGCAGAAAAATGGTATCAGCTGGTATCATGTAAGGTAGTAGATGTGATAGGTTTGGAGATAGCTCAGAGAAATTATCAAGGTGATAAAAGTATGCTTTACTGAATAGACTCCAGGTAGAGGGCAAAAGAGGTAGTTGTTATCATCAGGAGGATTAATTAGTAGGACCTTTCACAGTCAAAGAGTAGAATCTGAGTTTTGCTACATCACAACAAGAATTAAACAAATCCATGTGGGCTTTTTCCTGACAAATTATAACTGTTCAATTTACAGGTAAATTGCTGGATACATATAAATTTGCTGCATTACAAAAAATGGATGACCCATCAGAGATCTGCCTGTCTGAGGAGATATCAATTTCCACCTTTCCTCACAAAAAATACGTAAGAAAGATCTTCTTGGTTTTCTGCAGCATGATTCTTAACAAAGCTGGAAAGATAGATAGATAGATAGATAGATAGATAGATAGATAGATAGATAGCAACAATGGAGAGGTAACAGTGACGTAAAACTGACTGCCATGAAAATGGATAAAGTCAAAATTTGTATAGCATGATATGAGAAAGAAAAGGATTTCTTTGCATTAAAATACATTTTGAAAGAGGCCCATGGGCATTATTGAGGCTGGGCATATAATGGACATATAAACCTGCCCACATTTAGCTCACAGCTTTCAGAAATTTCGTGCAGGTCATCACAGGAAATTCATGGATACCAGTGAAGCTTTAAAGAAATGTGTATTGAACAACTGGAGACCTGATTATAAGCTGTACAGACTTGAAGACATTCAATGATGCTTTAAACATATTGCCAGATAACAACGATAACAGGGCCAACCACTACCAACTGCTATCACTTCCAGTCCTAGAAAATCATCATACCTGCAACATGATGCATCCATGTAACTATGGTTGAAAGGGGAAGCTTGGTAGCAGCAAAGAACAAAAGGACTTCTATTTCTTAGATTTTGCAGATACAGGAATCAAACCCTACTTAAGATGTTCCTGTTAAGTTGTTTTACCAGGAAACTCAAATTTTTCATTCCTGCACAGATTTTACAGAATCACAGAATGGTTTAGCTTTGAAGGGATCTCTTCAGATCATCTAGTCCAATGCCTCTGCTCAAGCAGGGTCAGCTAGAGCAGGCTGTCCAGACTAATGTCCTAGTAGGTTTTCAGTATCTCCTGGGTGCATCTTCTAGGCTGAGGAGATCGAAACTCCACAATTTCTCTCAGTAATCTGTATGTGTTTGTTTGTTTGTTTGTTTGTTTTTTCTACCTAGCAGGTCATAAAATCGCCATATACCTAATGGCAAATGCTCATTGCTATCCTCTAAAAAGCATTTCACTTTACATAGAATGATGGTGCTTTGCAATTCTCATGTACTTATTTGTTTACAGTATGCAGGTTACTAGTAATTACAGAATGCTTAAAAAGTTTTCTCTTGAAATAGGAGATTTTTCTTCTTTTTTCCTTAATAGTTTCATCTTACTTTTCTAGCAACCCAAGAATCTCTTAGTTTGAACATAGAAATCATCCCTCTTGCTAAAAAGTTTAGCTTTCGTACTACAGAGGAAGAGCCAGCTAGAATCCTTCTGAAATTCTTCTTTTCCCAGAATAGAGAAAGAAAGAAACATTAGGTTTGTAGCATTTCATTAACAAGAGCAGGAATAAAGAACAGGAGTTTCTGTGGGTCCTGTGAGGAAGATACTTTTCTGAAGATAAGGATTGTTAGTATTACTTGTATTCACACTGAAAATTAGTTTGATCTGATGGAGAACTTCTGTTGGTTGGGAGGTTTAACCTTTTTACATTGGTTCTCTTTGAGACCTTGTACTGCAGCAGGCAGCATGATAGGCAATGCAAATGTACCAAATGTTTGCCTGACAAGGGATGTTTGTCCTGGAACTGAATATCCATGAGGCAACATACTCCCTGCCTGTAATGTTCTCAGCCATTTTCATGGGGATTAATGATACTGAAAAATGAGTTAATTTTCCACTTAAGGCCAGTTGGAACTAATTCAACATATCGAGATCCTTCGATTGCACAATGTATTTATATTCCCTTCTATTCATGAACTCATACATTTTAAGTCAAATGCATATTACTAAACTGTAAGGCAAAAAAAGCAAACAAGCCAACAAGAAAATCATAACTAGCAGTGATATTCTACTGTGGTTTTCACATGTGGGAAACACTACTAGGAACAATTTTCTTTCTGTTTTTATTTAGGCCATGATCTGCTCTCAGCTACTTAACTTGGTGTCACCAACCTGCAGTGTACCAAAGGATGGGTTTGTCATTCGTTGCCAGCTTGACATGCAGGACTGCAGTGAGCCAGGACAAAACAATTGCACTTGCTCTACACTGTCAGAGTATTCAAGGCAATGTGCTATGTCTCATCAAACGGTGCTCAACTGGAGAACTGAAAACTTCTGCTGTAAGTTCAAATGTTTTATTCATAGGAGACTGTGCTTAAACTTGCTATATCTTACATAGAAGGAGAATGATGATTGACTGGAATTTAAATCAACTGATAGAAAAGTCTCTGCTGTCTTGAATCAAATAAATTATTTTCTTAATAGAACAACATTGGTCTTCAGTAAAGCATTAAAAAGAAGAGCACAGAAACCTCAAAGAAGAAGGAGGAAGCATGAAATGTAGCTCCTACATCTAGATCAGTGACCGTAAAGGAGAGAAACATCCACCACATGAAAACTGTTGAATTTTTCAGACTTCCAACAGGAGGCTGTTCTCTCTTAGTACTTTTTTTTCATTATTGTACTTAGCAAATTGGCCAGTAAAGAGACAGAACTTTTAAATGGCCTCTAAAGTCTTTGAATCTTTTTGCTAACCATTGCCATAGCCCCTTTTATTCACAGGAGATTTTCAGCAGTCCATTTTCAGAAGCTCAACCTTCTTAATTACAGTTACTGATAGAAAGTAAATAGGAGGGAAATCTTCTATTACTCTCCAAACTGTACCTGATTAGACATACTTTTTTCCAAGTCTGTTTGTTATCAAAGTTCTGGTTCACTTTTTGCAGTCTTTTTAAATTTACCTGAAACTTCAATCTATAGTCAGTGTTATGTAGCAGGATTCATTATTTTATAAGAGAACATGCTGATCATAAAAAAGTCAAAAGTAACTTAAATTGATGTTGTTATTTCTAAACCAACTCACACATTAAATCATCAGAGATGTAGCTCATGAAAAAAGAGGAGCTTTCAAAATTACCTTGATTAATATGATATTGTCCTTCAGAAGCATATAATTTAATCCTATTTTTATTTATCCTTTATATGAATATATGGTCATGGGTAGCAAGTTCATAAAATAAATTGCTTTGACAAGAATATATTTCTTCTTATCCCTTGATTCTTACTCTGTTTCAGAAATCTTTAAGATTGGCTACTATTTAGATTTTAGTGTATGCATAGTAAAATCCCAGTTGAATTATATTCCTGAAGTTGTTGTTTAACTTGCCATAGTCTATTGTCTCACTATTGTTACTTATGAGGCCTTGAATTATTTTGGCTTTCCTGCATCTCTGGTGCCATATTCTTCTATTCTCTTGATCTTCACATACTGGTGCCACTCTTCTTTTTTATTTTGTATTTAACATTGAGTTGTCTTTCATTCTTTCTTCATACTTACTGTGAATATTCTCTACTAAGCTCCATCATTATCCCTGACACTTTAAAATTGCTCTTCTTTCTAAAATAATTTTTCCCCTCCTCTTCTCCAAGGTTATCCATCTTACCTAAATTGGTAACCCATTTTATTCTTTGGTTGGTCTGCAATTGGTATTAATCCTTCAAAACTGTAAACTCCTCGTGGCATTTTATAGATTCAGAGAAATATTAATAAGGCACTGTGTACATTGACAGACTTGTACAATAATTCTTACTAATCACAGTAAAATAATAGCCTGTTTTTCTCCAAATCATAGCAGTTTTCATGTTGCCAGTAGACCATTACTAGAACTGGTAATAAAGTGATTAAAGACAAAACTTTGAGCTTTTTAGATAATTAACTTTTTAGACTTTATTGTTTCTTTGTCAGCCCCATCTCTACCTACCTCTATTTTCCTACCTCACTTATTTTTACTCTTTCATATAAGGAAAAATATCTGCTTGAATTTATCACATAATAAAACATGTTCTGAGTCCCATACATTAGAATTGCTAGGTAGCTGCATTCTGAAAAGCAGGTAATGTCTGATAAGCAGGACCTATACAGAAAATCAAGAATTATATTCTTTAAATCCTTCAAGTACTACAGAAAATCTGATTTGTGGTAGTTTATTAGGCTGCAATATAGCCTGTTTACCATTCTTCAAGCCTCTGAGAGGAGTTTCTAACAAATAGGGCATGAAAAATTAATAAAAACTAGAGTGAATATGATGGTAATGATGAATATTCAGATGATGAATTGAGTATTGAGGCAGGATAAAAGAAGATTAGTGCCAGAAATCACAAGGTCTTCTCCATCCTAGGTGGTAGATAAGATATTCTTCTATGTTTGCACTTTAAAAATCTTAACACTTTTGTTGTTTGTTGCAGCTGTGGGAAAATGTTCTGCTAACCAAATCTATGAGGAATGTGGTTCTCCATGTATTAAAACCTGTTCCAACCCAGAGTACAGCTGTTCCAGTCACTGTACCTATGGTTGCTTTTGTCCAGAAGGTATCATTTCTGTATTCATTATATCCTAAATGGCCCATACAAATTTTTTTGGCATATATCCAGTCAAGTGCAATAGACTTCTTAATAATGAACTGGCAGTGCATTTTAGGGCATTGTGCTGCTAGAATGCCATTTCTTGGGTAACATAACTAGTGTCTTGGACACTATTTGCAAGAAGAGAGCTGTGAAAGCATTTTCCTCACAAGACCATGATACGTGATGGTATAATTATATGCTCCCTGCTTAAAGTTCTGTACTATAATATACATTGACCAAGCTTCATTGATTTCCTATCCCAAACAGGTATCTAGCCTTTCAGGGCATCAGAGGTAGCATAACTGAGAGTTCTGCAACATTATGGTCATTTTGTAAAATCCCTTTTGAAATAGTTCTAGAATAACTTCCTACAAAAATTGTAGTTATGACTATCATTTCCATCATTTCTTGAAATTTCAGAACTGAAATATCCTCCAAGGTTACTGTGATATGGGTACCTCACCATTTTATAGTAGTCAAAAGTAACACGTTGTGAGCTTCATATTTAAAACTAGGAAATAGAATGTGTCCATTCTTCAAAATTCCCAACTTAGAGTGTCATAGCAAAAAAAAAAAAAAAAAAAAACCAAACCAAAACCCAAAACAAAATAAAATTCAAGCTTACTGTTATTTCAAATTAAGTTCAAATTTCAAATGGCAACAATTGTCTGCACTTTCCTGTAACAAAGTAACCAAACGCTGTTATCACTTGTAAAGAGTCAGTTTTGTTTTAGCTAAGAGAAAATGTCCTGCACATTATATCTCTTAAGTGTGGGCACTGGCTGTGAAAGAATAGCATTCTCAAGCTAATTTTGGAAGGCATTCAAGCTATAATAGCTTTAGTGCTAAGTGAGGATACAGAAAAGTATTTATTTTGTTTGTCTTCTTTGGCAGGAACTGTTCTTGATGACATCTCAAAAAATCAAACATGTGTTCACATTAAGCAGTGTCCCTGTGCACTGAATGGGAAAACATATGCTCCTGGTGAGACAATGAAAGCAGCATGCAGGACCTGGTGAGTAGCAACAAGTACTTTCATGAGAGGATGGAGAGTATCCTCACAAAGTGATTGGAAAATTTAGCCTAACTTTTCAGAGGGCAGCTGCAAATGTGTCATTCCATCTCTGACATCACCTTCTTTGAGTGCCACAAGTCATACATTTGTAATTGAAGATGTATATGTCTCATTTCCTGATTAATCTGTACAAATATAAATGCTCCTTCAGGCCACACAAAACAGTAGCATTTTTATCTCCCCTGTGACAGTGGAGGTAAAATTAGTACAAAACAAATATCCAGTGTTTACAGTTTCTTTCTGGCAATCTCAGTGTTTCTGATCACCAAATCTGTTTTGCAACAGAAAATAATTACTTAAGACAATATTTTTAAAATTTGAATTTTTTTTCCAAAAAAAGTGGAATAATTTTTTTGTGCTACCTGTCTTCCCATCATAATTCTAATAAGTAAAAGAAACGATAAATAATGGAATTTGAACCTCAGAACTTTTCATCATTAATATATTCAGAACAGTTTACTGACAATCCATATATGAGTTCAGCAACTTTGAATTAAGATGAACAACTTCAACTGACACAAAGAAAATCAAAGCATAGAAAATATAAGGGGAGAAGTGATACAACTGATATCTTCCATTACTAGGAAGTAACTGAGTTCTTAAAGCATGAAGAAAAGAAATTTCAAAACAGTGGAAATGAAAGTTCAGAATGTATATGTATGTTACACTGTGTTCACTAACCAATTCTGCACGTTGATGAGCTACAGCGAAACCTCCAGACAGGAGGATCAAATCCTCTGTTGATAGTAGTGCCTTAGTATGAGAATAACCTTACACAGAAATTCTTATTTTCCTCAGTAAATGTACGATGGGTCAATGGAACTGCAAAGACTTGCCCTGCCCTGGAAGGTGTTCACTGGAAGGAGGCTCCTTTGTTACCACATTTGATTCTAGATCATACAGGTTCCATGGGGTTTGCACTTACGTTCTTATGAAGGTAAATTCCTGCGGCCTAGAAACACACAATATCAAATGGACGTATTTTAGTGTTTGGTTTCCTACTGGAATACAAACTGAGGTCTTCCTATGATATACATTTATTCTACAAATCATTGTTATTCTGACACAGACTTCCTTTTTCACTATTTTCCTCCAGAGTTCCAGCCTGCCACACAATGGAACCCTAATGGCTGTATATGAAAGGTCTGGTTATTCTCATTCTGAGACATCACTTAGTGCTGTAATTTACCTATCTACAAAGGTAAGTATTCCCTTCACAGGTTCTATCCAGCATTTCAGTAACCAGATTAGCAAAATAAATACTTAAAGTCATTGCTAGTAGCCTAAACTGAAAAATTATGGGGAATAGATATTAAAGATATGTTCCAGTTGATGCATACACAGTAAAGATCTCAGTTGCCACATCAACTCAGGAAGTGAGAGTATTTTCAAAGTGAAAAATGAAAGTAGTATGGAATAACATGTAAGAAAAAGCTTGAATCAATCTTTTCCTGTTATATAGGTCATTGACAATACAGTTGCTTAAGTTAAAGAACATAGAACACCATCAGTACAGATAATTACTTCTGATTCCATGTCCTTTTCTTACAGGAGAAAATTGTGATTTCTCAGAATGAGCTCCTTACTGACGATGATGAACTTAAGCGGCTACCTTACAGATCGGGTAAAGAAAAGGGAATATACTTACATGGTCGGTTGACCCTGGCTGGATGCCAGGTGCCCACCAAAGCCGCTCTATCACTTCCCCTCCTCAACTGGACAGGGCAGAGAAAATAAAATGAAAGGCTCGTGAGTTGAGAAAAGGACAGGGAGAGATCACTCACCAATTACCATCATGGGCAAAACAGACTCAATTTGAGAAAAAAAAAAATTAGAGTAACAAAAAATAAAACCAAATAGTAAAACACCTTCTCCTCACCCCTCCCTTCTTCATGGGCTTAACTTTACTCCCAGTTGTCTCTATTTCCTCCCCTCAGTGGCACAGGGAGATGGGGAATGGGGCTTGCAGTCAGCTCATCATTGTCTCCGCCGCTCCTTCCTTCTCACACTCTTCCCCTGCTCCAGCGTGAGCTCCTCTCTCCATGGGTCCACAGGTCCTGCCAGGAGCCTGCTCCAGCATGGCCTTCCCACGAGGTCACAGCCTCCTTCGGGTGCATTCACCTGCTCTGGCATGGGGTCCTCCATGAGCTGCAGGTGGATATCTGCTCCACCATCAACCTCCATGGGCTGCACAGGAACAGCCTCCCTCACCATGGTCTTCTCCATGGGCTGCAGGGGAATCTCTGCTCTGGTGCATGGAGCACCTCTTGTCGCTCCTTCTTCACTGACCTGGGTGTCTGCAGAGTTGTTCGTCTCACATATTCTCACTGCTTTCTCTGGCTGTAGTCGTGCCGGTTTTTTTCCCCCTTCTTAACTATGTTATCCCAGAGGTGCTACCACCATCGTTGATGGGCTCAGCCTTGGCCAGCAGTGGGTCCCTCTTGGAGTTAGCTGGCATTGGCTCTGTCAGACATGGGGGAAGCTTCTAGCAGCTTCTCACAGAAGTCACCTCTGTAGCCCCCCCTCCCCCCTACTACCAAAACCTTGCCATGCAAACCAAATACAATGTAAAATCCAAATTACATTAAATGTCTGTTTTATACAACCCAGCATCTTTTCTCTTGCAACTGTCAATAGCAGAGGTTTTACAGGAAGGTTAAAATCTTTCCCATTGCGTCTGTCCCTCTGTGGAGAGTTGTGTGTGAAAGGAGAAGACTTGTAGACAGATTGCAAGAGCACTTACATATGCATTAAAATCATTACTTTGCAGTATCCTGTGTATCAAAATCTATTTGCAAATATCCTTGTTCTTTTAGGAGATATTACTATTTTCAGACAGTCCTCGATATACATTCAAATGTATACAACTTTTGGGCTGGAACTTGTGGTTCAGACATCACCTGTGTTCCAGGCCTATGTGAAAGTTGGATCACAATTCAAAGGCCGAACCCTAGGTAAGAAATCTAGTCCCCATGTGAAGGAGAAAACGTAGGGAGTGTAATTTTGAAAACTCAATACTCATCCTTTAAAGAATATATTTTCTTCTGTGGATACGAAGAAAAAATAACAAAAATACCTGCACTGGAGAAGTGATGTGCTAAGAATTTGTTTTTCACTAAAACTTTAAAATTAATCAAAGAAATTAGATGGGTGACATTTTTCATGTGTAATATAATACTGTTCTTCACATGTTTTATGTGTGTCTTTTTCAATTTGTGCTTTACTGCACAACGAAGGGGCAACAAATTAGTCTGTGTAGTCTCTATATCTTGGAGCACATGATTCTTTGAACGAAGTGCATGATCACTGTAAACACAATGATCCTAAAAGAGCTTCTCAGCTGACAAGCACCAGATGGAGATGTTTATGTTTATTGCACAGCAACATTAGCCACAAAGGCATATCCTGCATTCTAATTATCTATGGGGAATTACAGAGAGGCTTCAGCTTTTAAAAAAGTCTAAATGTATATTCTTTGTCATTGCAGATTTTATATACAAAAGAAAATGTGTAACTGCAAAAATATTCATGGCCTTTTTCTTTTGCTTGATTTAAAACCACTGAAAAAGCCTTTTTTCTAAAAACAAGACAAAAACTTCTATATGAATTTGTCATTGAAAAGAAGTGAACAATCTTAACTTGAGAAGGCAGAGGCTCAGTGACTGAATTTGTACATAATCAAAATTCTGTGGCTACTTGACCTATAGTATTCATTGACACTCCATGCAGAACTTTTGAATCCATTTTCTCACTATTATAGACTGAAACATAGACCATTGTGTACACACTCTTTAATTTTCAGCCATCTCTTTCATTTCTGATGTGATTAGGTTTGTGCGGCAATTACAATGGAGACACTACAGATGACTTCATGACTAGCATGGATATCACTGAAGGGACGGCCTCCCTGTTTGTAGATTCCTGGAGGGCAGGAAATTGCCATCCTGCTTTAGAAAGAGAAACTGACCCTTGCGCTTTGAGTCAACTGAACAGTAAGTAGATGATCCCGTTGTAACTGATCTCTCCAGCTAGCTTTGACACTTCCATAAACCCTTACCAGGGGAATGAGAGAGTTTGAGAGAAGCAGAGTGTGAAACGATTGAATATCACAAATTCTATCACCAACAAGACATTTCTGATTTCTAGAATACATATCTAGTGAAAGCTTATCAGATCCCATTCTATAGACCTGGGATTGAGATGATAAATGAGAGATTTTTGGGATATTTCCAGTGAAATTGCAATGTCCATGGCACTGTGACTGAAATACAAGCTTTGCCTTCTCTATTGCTATTGGTCTTAAGGAAAAAAAAAAAAAAGTGAAAAAAAAAAAAAGCCCTACTGAGCTGTTTGAACAAAAATATAGTCTGCAAGCTCACAAGCTAAGAAGTTGTCCTTTTATTTAATCCATCATTGCCAAAACTCAGCTAAAGTAGTGTGTCCAGGGTTTTTTTAATTTCTTTTTCTTTTTTTTTTTTCCATTTATTTTTCCTAACTTTCTCTGTTTAATGTCCATGATTTTCTCTCATTAGAAATATCTGCTGAGACTCATTGCTCCATTCTTACCAAGAAGGGTACAGTGTTCGAGAAATGCCATGCTGTGGTGAACCCTATTCCTTTCTACAAGGTAGGAAATTATGATAGACAGTGTACAGAGGGAGTCCAAATATGGACCAGAATGTACTCATATACGGCATCCCACTCATTTGGATCAGCAATGCATAGAAGCTAAGGGAAAAGTGTATTTTTGCAAATTACGTCTCCACCACACTAAAAGCCTGTTTGTTCATAGGCACCAGTCCCATCCCTATGAATCAGAATGTATTTTTACTCATGCTGCAGTTCTCCACGTCAACAACTTTAACTATGCAATGTATTGATTTTCCCATGTGCATAATTGAGCTCATTATATTTGCTAATCTCCACAAAACATTAAAAATGAAAAGCAGCAAATAAACATAGGCATTTTTAAAGTACTAAGTATATTTTATTCATGTCATTCAGGCAATTGATCTGATCTTTTTCATTAGTTTTAGTTATGCAATAATAGGTATTTTGCATGACTTCTGCAATTCAGCATAGAATCATAGAATCACAGAATCATTTAGGTTGGAAAAGACCTTTAAGATCATCAAATCCAACCATAAACCTAACACTGCCAAATCCACCACTAAACCATGTCCCTGAGGACCACATCTACGTGACTTTTAAATGCCACCAGGGTTTAGCACTTCCAAATGTCTGCTCCCCAGTAACAGAGTACTCTCCATGTATTGGGTTTCAGAGATGTGTCTACCAAGCCTGTAATTACGAAGAGACCTTTCCTTATATTTGTTCTGCTCTGGGATCATATGCACGAACATGCAGTTCAATGGGTTTAATCCTTGAGAACTGGAGAAACAGTATGGACAATTGTAGTAAGTAACCGAACCGACTTTTAATAGTCTACCACCAGATGATGCATGCATACAGGTCTATCTGTTTCCATTTAGAATATTCCCATGTTTGATTCACCTATGATAAAACTGAATAAGAGCCAGAACATATTTTAAAACTACTTGTCAGTCATTAGAAAATAACTAGTTGTTACTCAAGTAGGCCAACCAGCAGGTATAAAAACCATATTCCCAGGAGCTGCTGACTTCACAGATGTGTCATAACACAACAAAAAACTTAAAAGGTAAAGCATCTTAAGAGTAATGAGGAAAGTAGTGGACAGAAAAAAGAGGAAAGCAGAAATGAGATAACAGATATCCAACTTTTGAATAACCTCCTAGTCTGTTTCAGAAAAGGATTGTTATTTTAAGACTACATGAAAAAGATTAGTCATATGCTTTAAGGTGAGCATGTGGATGCTTCCAAGACTTGATAATTAAGTGATGAAATAAGATAAATAAAGCTATATTGTACCATAAGATGAGAAAGAACTAGGAAAAAGTCTGGTTACAGATGTAATTTTGCTATTATACAACTTAGACACAGGCACAGGTTGCACAATTACTCAAAAATACATTGATATTTCTGCAAAGAAGCTTCTCTGCATTATTTTATTCCAAGATACACAAAGAAGCAATAAGATATTTAATCTTCATAAAACTTCCAAACACCTACATAGTTGGTGTTAAGCTCTGATCTGCAATATTTTTTGCTAGAACTCCACATCCACAGGAAGAGAGGCAATAGGAAGCATTAAGCATTGAAGCTGTTGACACAATATATGCAGCACATCATGAGCAGTTATCTTTCACAAGGAAAAGGGTAAGTAAATGAAGTTTAACATACATGCACTCTTGTCTTGTTTTACAGCCATTACTTGTACTGGCAATCAAACATTCAGCTACAGCACTCAGGCATGTGACAGGACGTGCTTGTCACTCTCCAACCGAGCCCTGGAATGTCATCCAACTGACATCCCTACTGAAGGCTGCAATTGTCCTAAAGGAATGTACTTGAACCACAAGAATGAGTGTGTTCGTAAATCATATTGTCCCTGCTATTTAGAAGATAGAAAGTACATCTTGCCTGACCAGTCAATAATAACTGGCGGGATTACCTGGTAAGACTGTCAAAGATTAACAAACTGAAAATGGAGACAAGGGGTCTTCATGTGTCTCTGTTGAATGTTAATGGTAGTAAGCAGCTAAGCACCACAAAGCTGTTTGTTCACTCCACTTCAGCCGGATGCGGAAGAGAATCAGAAGGGCAAAAGCAAAAAAATTCATGGGTTGAGATAAAGACAATTTAATTACTTTATTACTAGTAAGCAAAAATTAGCTTATTTAATAAGCAAAGCAGTACATGCAATCAAAGCTAAGTAACAAATTATTTCACACTTCCTGTCAGCAGGCAAATGTTTAGACATTTCCGTCCATTATGGTTACTTGAGAAAACAAATGCCATAACTCTGAACATCTCTCCTTCCTCCTTCTTTACCTGAGCTTTTATTGCTGAGCATGGTGTTATATGGCATGGGATATCCCTTTCATCAGTTCAGGTCAGCTGTACTGGTTGTATGCCCTCCCAGCTGCTTGTGCACTTCCAGCTTACTCGCTGGTGAGGCAGCATGAGAAGCAGAGACAGCCTTGACACTGTGCAGCAACAGCTAAAACAATGTCATGCTGTCAACACTGTTTCAGTCACAAATCCAAAACATACACCATCAAGTTACTATGAAGAAAATCAACTCCATTCCAGCTAAAACCAGTACAGTCTCCTTTACTTTTAATACAAAAGGTTTATTTTTTAAGACATCTTTTTTGCCTTTTCCTAAAATGCAAAGATTCTTAAATGAACAAAAAGGTTTTGACTTACCTTAAGCTTAGAAATGTTAAGGAAAAAATTAGAAACTAATGAGTAAGATCTGATTATTCCTAGTAGGAGATTTTGTCAACAGCATCTGGACAGCTATATACAAACCTCAACCTTCACTTTCAAAACTGATGTTACTGTATACTATGAAAAGTAAAGAGAAGCAAGTTGACTCACGTTCCATTTTGAAGGATGGATAGGAGCTAGTAACATAAATGAAATATTTCCAATGGTGAGAAACATAAAGCCATTTTGCAAAAAATTAAAATATCTTTCTTAGGAGAAAATTGCATGAAATTCCTTTTTTTTTTTCCCTTTTCCCTAGCTACTGCGTTAATGGGAGGCTAAGTTGTACAGGCAAACCTCAAAATCCTGCAGGTATGGGTCTGATATGGTTTACTTAGAAACATATTCTTTTCCCCTCTGTTGTAAAATTGCTGCTTCACAATCTCTCCAATGTTTGGTTTTCTTTCTTCCTAGAAAGCTGCAAAGCTCCTAAGAAATATGTATCATGTTCTGACAATTTAGAAAACAAGTATGGAGCTGCATGTGCCCGTACCTGTCAGATGCTGGCTACTGGAATTGAATGTGTGAGTTTCACAGCTCTGGGATATTTATCCTCTTGAGAGAGGAAGAGTGTTCCAGTTGTTTACTTAGAACTTGACTACATTCCTTCTAGTGAAATGAAAGATATTTCTTCTAACATGATACAGTTAAACATCAGACTTCTTTGCACAGACTGTGGACACTAAAAATTTACATATATTCAAGAAGTTATTAAAGGAATTAAAGTGCATGAATTAATGAATTAAATTCTATTAAATGAATAGAATAAATATCTATTAAGGATTCTTAACTACATGGCTATTACCTCTGGCTCAGGTATTCCATAACTTGAAAATGATAGAACATGTGGTTTATGCTTCCTGTTCTATTCTTTCCCAACTATCTGCTGCTGATGTTCACAGGAAGCAGGATACTTAGGCTAGGTGGACTTCTGGTCTGTCCTGATAGGTTTTTTGTTATGCCTTTATATTAAGGATACAGACTAAGTGGAAGAATTTTAATAAGCTTCCTTGATATAAAGAAACTTCTGTTGTACTCTGTCCGAAAAATTGGTAGCAATGAAAGAAATTTTTCAGAGTCTTTAAGTACGTTTAATATCTCACACAACAGGTATATCTTACAACTTCAGTGAAACTAGTTCAATTGACTAGTGTATTGACTAGTACAAGGAAAATCACAAACCTGAAATCAAGTCAAAACTCGAACTTAGCACAGGTTCACTCTGCACACCATTCACAAACAAGATAAAACACATCTCACACTTCTTTTCATTTTGCAATCTGTTGGTATTTACCAGATACCCACTAAGTGTGAATCAGGCTGTGTCTGTGCTGATGGGCTGTATGAAAATCTCGATGGCAGGTGTGTTCCAGCTGAGGAGTGTCCATGTGAATATGGTGGTCTTGCTTATGGAAAAGGTGAACAGATCCAAACTGAATGTGAGATGTGGTAAGAAACACAGTTTTCCATTGCCAAACATCTGTTTCACTAAACTGTACAACTACATAACAAGCATTTATTTGACAGGACAGTAGAAAATGGCAAGGGCTGAACAGAAGGAATACAGTGACAAAGCACAGAGGTGATAAAGAGAAGCTTAACATTTGACAATATATATGCATAGATAAGAGAGTCATGGTACCAGCTTGAGGGATAATTTCTGCCATATACATATCCAGGAATAAGGGCATCCAGTAGGGCCTGTAACTGTAAACTACATACGGTCAAGGATTAACAGCTCCACCTAAATAAAGATGAGGGCAAAATCTTCCTTCTTTTCTGTAGATAAAAGCAATGGCCCCAAAAGATTGTTTCCATTGCTTTAGCAGCATTTTCAAAGTACTTTGTTCCCTTTCCAGTTACTAATCTAGTATTAAAAAAGCACCACCACTCCCCCAACTACACAGAACAGTGAAATCTCTTCTTATTAAGAGCAAAAATAAATGAGTTTTATATTCTTTCTTTCATGAAAAAAGAAAGCAAAAATTACGTAAGATTTCTTCTTTGTCATGAATTAATTTTCTATGCAGTCCATAACTTTTTGTTATGGTTCTTATATTAATCATAACTTAGTCACAGTCAATTAAATGAACATCTTACGTACAAAAGTGCATATGTATAAAAAGAAGCGGTTAAGGTGGCATTTCTTTGAAATCTGAATATGGTTTCTCTTCTCACTCCCAGCACTTGCACAAAAGGCAAATGGAAATGTGTTCAGAAATCAAAGTGTTCCTCAACGTGTAATCTGTATGGAGAAGGCCACATCACCACTTTTGATGGACAGCGTTTTGTGTTTGATGGCAACTGTGAATACATACTAGCTATGGTAATCTGCCTCTTACTGCTTATTTTGGCAGTATCTTAGCATCAAGAAATAGCTTGATTTAAATGGCTAATGAAAGTATCCTAGGATGCACCTATAACCACTAGAGCACTTTGAATTTTTATAAACACTTAATGTGTTTTTATATTTTTTTGCTTATTTCAATACTTAAGATGAAAAGACTTTACTTGTCAAAACACAGATTTTTTCATGCAATTACAACCAATTTTAGACTTACTAACATAAATAACTATAATATAATAACTATGTCTTTTAGGGAAGTGATGTCAATTTGACTACCGTATCAGAGGTCATTACCTCCCAAAACAGGCAGAATCAGAGCCATGACATGTTTAAGCTTTCTTTACTTTTTTTATGCTTTTATGTTTTCAGTTGGAAGACTCCAGACACAGAATCTACTGGGGGTTTGTGCTTTTTGTGGTTTGTTTTGGGTTTTTTAGGATGGCTGCAGTGTTAATAGACCTGTTTCTTCTTTCAAAATTGTTACCGAGAATGTCATCTGTGGGAAATCAGGGGTTACATGCTCCAGATCCATCAGCATTTACCTTGGGGTAAGGTCTTCATTCTGCTGTTATCCAGCCAAATAGCTATTTTAAGCCCACATTTGCTTCCCTTTTGGAAGCTTTAGCTTCTTGTCTTTGAATTGATATCTTGTAAGTGAAATTATGCGCTAAACTTAGAGCTTCAGTTTTAGAAGGAATTGCCATCAGTTGTTTTTTTCAATTCTCATGTCAATGTTTTAGTCCCCAAATTCCTTGCCTATGTCGAAGTAACACAATTTTGAACTTTACTGACTCAGCAGTGAATTGCTGTCAAGAGATACTGATTCTCCCACACTCAGCTTGGTGTCATCTGCAAACTTGTTGAGTGCGCGCTCTATCCCACTGTCTATGTCATTGATGAAGATGTTAAACAGTACTGGTCCTAATAAGGACCCCTGAGGGACACCATTTGTCACTGATCTCCATCCAAACATTGAGCCATTGACCACTACTTTCTGGATTCAGAGAGAAGGATGTTGTAGGGGACCATGTCAAAGGCCTTACAGAAGTCCACATAGATGACAGCTGTAGCTCTTCCCTTGTCCACTGATGTAGTCACTCCATCATAGAAAGGCCACTAGATTGGTCAGGCAAGACTTGCCCTTGATGAAGCCATACTGGCTGTCTCAATTCACCTCCCTGTCCTCCATGTGCCTTAACATAGTTTCTAGGAGGATCTGTTCCATGATCTTCCCAGGCACAGAGGTAAGGCTGACAGGTCAGTAGTTCCCAGGGTCCTCCTTTCTACCTTTTTTTAAAATGGATGCAATGATTCCCTTTTTCCAGTCTCTAGGGACGTCACCTGACTGCCATGACTTTTCAAAAATAAATAGGAATGTCAAGACAGTCTGTAGTAGGACAGCAATGTGACACAATCTTCAGCAATGAGACACAGCGTAAGGAAAATACTGAAACTTGACAAGTTATAACATCTGGATAAATTTTCTTCCAGAATTTGACATTCATACTGCGAGATGAAACCTTCACTATTTCTGGGGAAAATCCTGGAGTACGATATAATGTGAAAAAGAATGCCCTTCACCTGATGTTTGATATCATTATCCCAGGAAAATACAACATGACTCTTATCTGGAATAAGCACATGAACTTCTTCATCAAGATCTCCAGAGAAACACAGGTATTGCAGAATAACTTCCTCAGTAAACTGTCCTTCCATTCAGATTGAACTGCACATTTGATGATGGCTGCCTTGACTCTCTATGATGGCAACAGTTTTTCAGAAGTGCTACTAGCAATTCACTTTCATCATTTTCTCCAAAACACCAGAGATTTTCACTAGAGGCTGATTTTTAAGTGATTACCATACTGCATTCAGGAAATTTTTGAGCTAAGTGCTTGTATTTTATCCAACTGCATGGCCTGATCTCTAAATAGTGACAGTTTACAGTTTAGAGGACAAACACATTCATCCACTGATGAAAAGAACCTCATGCACAAGATGCTAAGAATGTATGAGAGAGTATTTGTAGATCACATTCACTACTAAAGCACAGGAAACTGTCAGTAATCAAAAGGGAAGGCAAGTAATTGTAATTTGCTGAACTGATTTCATTTAATCTAGGAAACTATATGCGGTTTGTGTGGGAACTATAATGGCAATATGAAGGATGATTTTGAAACTCGAAGCAAGTATGTGGCATCAAATGAATTGGAATTTGTCAATTCTTGGAAAGAGAATCCTCTCTGTGGGGATGTATACTTTGTAGTGGACCCCTGTAGCAAGAACCCGTATCGTAAAGCATGGGCAGAAAAGACATGTTCCATCATCAACAGCCAAGTCTTTTCTGCCTGTCACAATAAGGTAAGAATTGATTTGACCTTTTTATTTATAGGCATAATCTGTGTTCTTCCAAAATGCTCACACTCCACCACTTGATTTTCTCTTCCCCAAACTGTTTTAATTAAATATATATAAAATATTTTATGGCTTTCATTTATGTTAATCTTCATCATTTCTTATTTGCACTCCACCAGCCCTTTTGTAAGCACAGAAGCCAAGTATGGCATTAACTGATTAGTTTAGAATAACAGGGTGAAAAAAAATGACGACTTAAGTCAGAAATCAGTCTGTTGATGATGTCTGATACTAATCAATGCACTGTTTACTCTTCTGAAACCATTTAGCCTTTGTTAGAAAACCAAACTTAAGAAAAGCCTGAAAACACTTGTTCTCATCAGTAAATCAACAGCGTTACTTAGAAGATGCAGATCAGCCCAAGAGCAAGATATCATCAACCCTCCTATTTGTTTTAAGTTGCCCACATTGTGGAAATGAAAATATCACAAGGCTCATCAGAACTAGGCCCTCTGAAGGAAAATCTCCATTTTCACGAGGCGAAAGCAAGTGAGAAATGTGGATAATGCTGCAGTGCTCATGCATATCCATGGAGGATGTACAGCTGACAAACTTAGACACTTGTGCCTGGATGGTTGTGGAGGTTTTGAGTCTTGTTTAGCTGACTGTACATGATATGTTCAGGACTAGTATGAATTTAGAAATGCATATCTGGCAAAACATCATCAGTTTCCATTGTTGATTCTATGTTCTTGCTAAAGAGATTTGTATGAAGTCGGATTGTAATTGCTTTGACTTTGACAAGTGTTCAGAGGAAATACTAGTTACTGTCACTTAATGGAACATGTATCGTTTAGCCCAGGGACAAACACGTTCTTAATAGGCACAAAAGAACCCTAGAAAATTCATTACTTCATTTTTCAATGCAGGTGAATCGTATGCCCTATTATGAGGCCTGTGTTCGAGACTCTTGTGGTTGTGACATTGGAGGGGACTGTGAATGCATGTGTGATGCCATTGCAGTATATGCCATGGCATGCTTAGATAAAGGTATCTGCGTTGACTGGAGGACCCCTGAGTTCTGTCGTAAGTTTCTTTCAGCTCTCTTTAAACACATTTAAGAGATTAAGTTAAGGTAATTGCTTAGTAAGCACCTCTTAAGATGCATTTTCTCTCCGGGCAAATAGTTGACTTCAGTCACTTGGGTTTTGAAATCTATAGTTTTCATTTGTGCTAAATTAACCAAAATACTGTATCTCTTTTTACCATGGAGTAATGAGAGAGAAAATAGTGTGGCCACAGAAGGCAGACTGTTTCTTCTGCTGACTCTGTATGGTGAACTGTCAGTTTGTCAGCAGAGGGAGTATGAAATTATTTAAAATATATGTTTCATTTTAGCTATGATGAAATCACCTTCTGAGTGGATGTTAAGGAAATAAAGACAGCTGTGTTGGCTGGAACACTGTAAAACAGGAAAAAGATATCAAGGTGTTCCAGGACAACATATATGGAAGGAAAAAGAGGATAAGTGTTTACAAATGAATGCTAGTTATCATCTTTGATGGTTTCTTTTCAACATTTATCTATACCGTGCTTTAAAAATTGTGGAAATGCCTGCATACTGCACTTGCAAAAAAGAAACTGACTTCACTGAAGCATAAATTTGAATTTACATCAGAAGCTAATAACTTCAGTGACAAAATTTTTTATTCAAACTGTTTATTAATTTTGTCGTCCCCTTAGACCTTTTAAAATAAAATGCCGTTAATTTGAAAAATTCTGATGTCTCTCTCGCTTTGCCTTTTTTAGCTGTCTATTGTGAGTATTACAATTCTCATAAAAAAACAGGAAGTGGTGATGCTTATTCCTATGGCTATAACAATGACAACTGCACCTGGCATTACAGGCCTTGTAATTGTCCAAATCAAAACTACAAATATGTCAACATTGAAGGTAATAAGCTATACTAGTGTAAACCAGGAAACAGTAACATAGTAGTTATTTTCAATGCTGTTTCTTAAATCAGTCATACCACATTTAAATAATGTTATTCTAATTGATGCTATCTTTGAAGCAGTTTTGCTGATCTTTACCTTAATACTACTGCTTTCAATACATAATCAGTTCAGTACATGTACTACATCTAGCTTTATATTGAGCTCAGACTATCTTGAGGAGAAATGCTAACTTGCACCAAATCAAAAGAATACATGAGGAGAGAGCAGTTAATAGTTTTATTAGACAAACGGATATAGTTGGAGAAACCAAAAAAATTGCAACATAGGCAGACCCTTCTCTGAGGACGACATTGGAAATGCTTACCTGAATAGATGATGTTGCAATTGATACAATTTTTTAATAACAGAAATATAAGATATTAATTATAAATAGTACAAATTAAATGCTGTTCTCTGAGAAATGTGAAACAAACTTCTCTTCCCCTTTCTTCAGGCTGTTACAACTGTTCTCATGATGAATACTTTGACCATGAGAAGGAAAGATGCATGCCATGTGGTAAGCAGCAACCTGTATACTCATTCTCTTTCTCTACAGTAACTGGAAAACAATACTAAAATATGTGTATATTCTCAAAGAAGGTATTTTTCCTAGTACCTCTCAATTAATGAGCATTCATTCAAACATAAATTTCCTTCAAAAAATCCTGTTAGTGTACTGATAGTATGTCAAACTTCTGTCTGTAAATAAAAGAATGAAAAGAACTAATTAAAAGAAAGATTAGGGTAGGGAATGCTGTAATACTAAAGCTGGATGACCCTGACTGATTTTAGTTAGCAACATGAAAAGTTATGTTAATTGTAAATGTGAGTACTTTTGAAAATGTGAGTCTTCCCGAAAGTGTATTGGTGTTCTGATCTGTGTCAGGGGCTGCCCCAGCAGAGCTGTGGATCTCAGATATATTCAACAACTTTCATAAAAGAAGCAAACATATAGAATAGGATCAGACCTAGCTAAGGGACTCTACTCTCTTTTTAGAGTTTTTTTTTAAAAAAAAACTTATTTTAACTTAAGGGTTATTACTATATGGTTTATTTCTATGAAAACATCTTATTAAATAATGTTTTGGACTGACTCTAGCTGCATAGTTTGGGTTTCCATTGAGAAGTAAAAAATCTGAAGGACAATTTTTTCTCATATCACAGAATTCTAACCTGTGTAACCAGGATCTCAGCTAGTGATCTCATTTACATAGAAAAAACATGTTTCCATTATCCCTAAAAAGTGAGGTGCCCTTAGGCATAAAAATAATCAGAAAGATAGCAAAAACTTACTTGTGTTCATATATTATTATGAGATGTATCAATTTCTTTGTCATTGTTTAAGTTCTTTGATGTGAAGTTTACACTGAAATATGCAATATTAAGCATTTTCAAGACTATGCCACTATGTAACACAATCCTTTGCAATTTGCCTTATCTGGAATATTTTAATATGCTTTCATTCACAAATTTAACCTGTTCTACCTTTACACAACAGGAGATGAAAGCACTAGTACCAAACCTAAAACATCTTCACCTTCAATAGGTTAGTTCATGTGGTTGACTAAACTAGTACTTACACATTGATATATGTCCTGATATGTGTTTGAGATAAGCAGTATTGTTTTTTGCATGATATAGTGGCGTCAGTTTCACATTCATAAGATGCAATGATGAAAAATAACTTGGTACTATAATTATCACAAAATTTTCCCCAGAAATATTTGCTGGACATCTGTCGTGGTTTT